TGCAATATTTCTACGTCAGAAGTTAATTAAAATTAGAATATAAAAGTGTAAAAAAATTCTGACCTCATGAGGAGTGAGACGATCCATCGAACACTCTGCATTACAATATCTGCATCGACCAACGTAATTATTGTTATCTTGATGAATGACTCTAAAACATAACAGAAGTCACGCTCTATTAATATAAGACTAACGAATAAACCTTGATTGTTGTTGTATTCGTTCATGTTCTTGCTTAGCACAAGAATTCTATTAAATAAAAAACAATTAGAGTAGAGATTGGTTGTTCAACTTGCAGTATGTTCTTGAAAAAGTCGCCATTCAATTGGTTTTTTACAATATTCACAAGGAATAAGAGCAGTGTCATCTGATTGATCGTCATGATGCAATCGATCTGGAAATGAAATTAAAATCATAAGAATATGATCTACATGTAATAGCACCTCGATATTGATTGAAATCTCCATCAGTCGGTGCTGGGTGTTTTTTCTTGATTTTATCTGGATTCTTAAGACAAGCACTCTGCAAACATCAGAGAAGAATAATTTGATTTCTCATGTAAGAGCTAGGATTTTTAAAATGCTTACTCGATGTGCTTCAAGATCGGCTGGGTCACACTCACAATTACAAAATTGACATAAGACAGTTGTTCGTATTCCTTTATTAAAATTTCTCAATATATAATGCAAACAATTCTAAAGCCTACCTGAATTTGATCGTTGGAATGTGGTAGTCTCTCTGTCTGAAGGCGTTCTAAGATTAACCGTCATTATTGTGATTTTCTTTTCTTGACCAGCAGCTGATCTTGTTGAAGATAGTAATGAATTATTAGGGTGAAATGTTGGTGAAACGACAGGTTTGTTGGCATGAGAATGAGTATCATTATCGGTGTCATCCAAATCAGTACAATTATTTTCATAGTGATAAGCAAACACAGCTCGTCGAATAAATTTTTTACAATGTGGACATTGATCTGTTTTGTTACCACACATCAACAAGTGATCTCCCATTTCTTTTGTTGACATAAACTTTTCATTACAGAAGGAACATGAAATGAGGCGTTCTGCATCATTAACTTGTCCCTAGAGAAGAATTCAATAATGACAAAATAAAAAGAATATATTTGACATAAATCGAAATTTATTCGATTATGTCTTAGTATGAACCTACATTTTCACTCATGTTTATTTTTTGTTAATTTGAAAGATTTCTTATCTGAAAAAAATTAAAATCAACAAAACAAATATGTTAAATGAGTTGAAAAAAATCTTAAAGCTTGTTCTGCACTTTTCTCGCGTTTGTTTGTCAATATTCAATGATAGATCATTCTGATTTCTTTTTCTTTACTATATGTTTCGAGTTTGTTCTTAATTGTAATTCTTAAATTCTATCTTACTATTCATCTAAGATTTTCCAATTTAGAAACTAGAATAGTTTTGATTACAAATAAAATAAGCAGTAAGATATATTGGCTTGAGGTAAATCCTCATTTTTTTAAATTGAGCTTTTTTTTGTAAAATAAATGTACAGAATAAATCTCAGTCAATGTCAAGAAGAAATTTAATCACTAGAATAAAATTGTAGCGTAGTGGCCGTACTAGGGATGTATCGTACCAACTTTAGTCCCGTTTTCAGTACTACGAGCAAAGTTGACCCGATCGAAACTAAAGATTATGGTTAAATATTCTATAATTGTAAGCGAACCATATCAATCAGCATAGAATTCAAGCTGGATAATTCAAAAAAGTCCTGGTCGTCGACTAAGTGAATCTAGAATAGAAGCAATCAAAAGATCTGAAACTTTTACAATAATTTATTCTTATCAAGTCGTGTCTCTATGCAAAGTTTCAAGTCAAAAGTCGAAACTCAGTTTTCCTCGCATTTCTAACGAAGACTGCGTTATTCATTTAATAGCTACGGTAAAAAGCAGTATCTCGGCACAAAAAAAACCATTAGCCCGAACTCTTTTCAGGGTATTCATAGTTCATATGGATTTACATAATGTATATAGTCTCGACTTAAAAGCACTTCTCTCGTAAAACAGTAGTTATTTAACTATGATTTGGATATGAAAAATACATAGTTTTGAAAATGACATTTTCGACAAGAAACAAATGTAAAATAATTAACTAATTCATTTCAATAGAAACATTACAAAGAATGTAAAACATGTTAATAGTTTATCTTTGTTACTTTCATATGGAATATTGTTAATTGTTTTGAAATCATAATATACAAACCATAATTTGAAAAATATATTTGTTGAAAAATTGAATAAATTCGATTTCAAATAATAATCATAAAATTATAGAAAAAAAAACTAATGAACTCTATGATAAAATAAGATCGATTGATTTTGTTTGCAATCTAATTGAAGATCTTGAAGATTTCATACATGAATTGTTATGCACATGTTCATTACTTTCTACAACAATAACAATTTGGATAATTATTTTTCAAGGTTAATATTTTCTATAAATATTACTATTGTTTGATGTGCTTGATCGATAATGTTGTTTGAATTAAAAATCCAAGGAAAAAAAAATACTTGTTCTGAACTCAATCAATAACTTCCCATGCGATGGGGATTCATTCTGCACACCAGCTATATAACGAGATAATGTAAACTCGAACATTGACTAAAATGTTTTACCTGATGATAGGCAAGGCCTTCGAGCGATCTTAGCAATCGACAATGGATACATTTAGCAGTAGTAGTAGCGGGCGCTGGTTGTTGACTACTACGTCTAAATTATAGAGAAAATTCCAATGTCTTCTAGCTTTTAGAAAACAATCAAACCGTGTCTTTTCTTGTAGTTGTTTATAGTATTCTTCACGGCAAGCTTTCTAATCGATGAAAATTAAAAAAATATGAAGTTTAATTCCTAAACTTACCGTATGATTATCATAAAGATCCCATTGAATTCCCTGATTACAATATTCGCATGGAATAAATGCATTATCATTAGAATCGTTGAATTGTTGTGATCGAGCTAAAAGTTAAAACTAGAACACTACATCATCAAAATATCGTGTTTTGTGTTAGTAATGCAATGCAATGTTTCCAGTACAGATCACTGCAACATTGTTATCGAACAATGCTGCATTACAGTTTTTGTACATTGAATATCTATGTAAGAACAATCATAAAGATCTCTGTTCTCTGTTTAATTTATACGAGTTCTAGTAAAATAACAGCTGCAAATTAATATATGAGTGATATATATATATATATATATACCTGAATTATAATTGGAGTTATCATTGATGTAATGCTGCTGGTTTTTCTTAAGATTTTTTGGATTATGAAGGCAGTTTTCCTGGAAACAATCCGATCAGAAAAATTTAACGTCTTGAACAGAAACAATCAAGTTTTTACTGTATGTCTTTTACGGTTATTTCGGTCATAGTTTTCTTTGCAGAATTCACATTTGATAGTCACCGGTACTTCTACAAGACAATTAGATATTAATAGAACAAAGTCCGCAGAACTCACTAGTGTCTTGTGCCTTCTGATTAGATTCATTATCTCTCGTTGGTGCATCCGGATTAGCACAATTATTTTCATAATGATAAGCAAATATAGCTCGTCGAATGAATTGTCTACAATTAGGACATTGATCTGTTTTATTACCACACATCATCAAATGATCTCCCATAGTTTTCGAGGATGAAAATTCTTCATTGCAAAATGAACAGAAAACTTTGGTATCCTTGAAAAGAAGAGTACAATCATGGCGATGTATGAAAAGTCTTAACTATATTTTAACTGTAAACCTACTTGACTCGCCATGTTTATTTTCTTAATATGTATTTTTAATATTTTATCTGAAGAATTATAAACTAATAGGATTTATGTATATAGAAATGACATAGAAAGAAATATATTAAATTTTTTAGTAGACTCTAAGATATGAACTGTTTTTTCATCTTTTATTATTATTCAAGTCATATGTTGCACGTTTGTTTCATACTACTACCGATCGGATAAAGTATCAAACTACTGCCGGTTTGAATCACATAGGGATTCATATCACATTGGCAAAACTATTTTCTCGAAAAGGTTTTTTTTTTATCTTCATTTGAACTTAATTATTTTTTTTTTTAAATAACAGATGAGTATATCGAGTTTTTATTTACATGAACAAGGTTAATAATACTAAAACAAATGTTGTCTATGAAATAAATAAACAAGATTAAGATTGAAATAGTTTTAGAAATTTAAACAATCTGAATAAGAAATTATCCATAATTATTTCTCACAATAGAAAAAAAAAAGATTATAAATTCATAGCTTTAAACAGTACCTTCAAAATTTGTTTGTATAAATACAAAAACAAAAAACTCGATGCATTTGATTTATCAATTAAAACGAAAATATTTAATTAAATTCGATCCATGGTGAAGTAATATGAAAAATCTTTGCGACAATTTGTATTTTATTTCAGATGAATTCAGCCAAATTCGAATTGCATCATAATGAAATCATCCATTTGCTTGTGTTAATACTGCTTAAAACATCATTGGAAAATAACTACACCTATAACGAATAGGATCATATATATATACTTAGAAAGAAAAAGTAGAAGAATAAAACAAAAAGCCTCTTTCAATATGTTGGAAAAAATGACGTCATTATTTTATTCAGAATTGTCTTTTTTTTTTTGCATGCTCGATAAGACAGAAAAAAAGCTGTTAGTTACCTTAAAGTAAATGTGAGTGGTAAAGAAATAAAAGTATGTTGTTGTTGTTGTTGTTGTTGACACAATCAAACTATTTTTTTTTTGCAATCTTGTCGAATATATTATGTTTCATTTTCCCTTCGTCGGTGTGCAATAACTAAAACATATGTGATCATTTTTTTGTTTTCTTTTTGTAGACCAACAATCTATTGAATAAAGAATTTGATTTGATATAAAGGTGAAGAAATCGAATTTTTTCTTTGATTTGTTGGTAAGAGATGTCGCAATCGCAAGCGATTGGTTATTTCAATAAAGGTAAATTGTCTGCACAGATAGTAACCAAAAAAGAAAACCAACAATTCGATATGACATCGATAGAACGCTATTTTAATCAATAGAACATACATATAAATATTCGATTGCTAGAAGAATATCCCGGCCTTGCGACAGATTCATCAACCTGATATCTTCCGCAAAAATGTACACAGAAGGACGGTCTGATGTGGGTGTGGGTGAAGATGTTGATGAAGGTACACAAAAGATCCTCGCTCACACCAACAGCCATATTCGTGACGAATTGTCCGACCACGCCATGAGAGGAAAAATGTATGTCACAACATAATCAGCATGCTATTGGACGGATGATCCGAGACTAGAACCCATTGGGTCTAGGTCCAGAAAATTTTAAACCCAATGGGCTCTTCTTACAAAAGATTAATCAATCAGGTTCGAATACAAAATTTTGATTGACCAGGTCTGGATCCAAAAATTCTTGGGCACGATGGGCTCTATTCGGGACTGGCAGCCGTTTAGTAACTTGTCCGGAATCATTTCTTGACCACTAATACCGATGTTTGAGGTACAGTATCTTGTGATACGTGCCGAACAACTTAGCCGTATATCACAAAACATTAATATCTTAAGTAATAGCCCATGGACCATGCCATTGTCACAATGACGAGGACATCGCTGTAGACAGCCCCTATTTAACTGTTTCATGTTAAGTAATTATCAATTACAGCATGTTATCATATACTTGTTAGTATATAGATTCGATCGATAGTACAGATAAATTAATAATTATTTCATTGGATTATTGTCAGAACCGATTTGAAAAATGTTTTGACCTTATCAAAAATACTCTAATCAATCTCACTAGAGTCTATTGATTTATCATCGGAGATAATTAAATTTTGTTGTATAAAAAATATTTCTATTAACAAACGTTCTTTTAATCACAGTTCATTCTTTTCTTTTAAAAATTTCCTTCTTGTTTTTTTTTTTTGAATCTCAAATAATCGATCAAACTTTATAAAAAAGAAAAAACAAAAGAACAAAACAAAACAAAAACAAAATGTTTTGTATGATTATTGATCAACATCCGATAAATCAATACCAGTTGTAGCTGCATCATCTAAATCTAAATCGAGCATATCTTCAAATAACGATTCATCAACTTCGACCACTTCACCACCTATAACATCAAAAACTAATCATTTAACATTAATTACAAAAAAAAAAAAAACATTACCTTCACCCGATACAAATTTAATATCTGAATCATAAAGTGAACGATCTTTTTCAAATAATTGTCGACCTGTTAATTTTTTTATTTCATTATCATCAATTTTAATTGTTTTTGTTAATTCATTTCGTTCAGCATCAAATTTAACTTTCCATTTAATAAATGATTCAACAGTAACACATGTACCTTCAAATCGTTTTTGTTCAGCTTCTTCTTCTTCACGTTGTTTACGTTCAAGATTTTCTAGATGACGAATTTGACGATTTTCAGATTGAATACTCAATTGTTCAGAAAGATGACTAGCCAATGTAAATATAACCGGCATACCTAAATTTTCTTCACACTGAAATATCAAAGAAAAAAAAACAAAATTTAGATTTCATTCATAACATGAAGGCGATCGCTTCGCCCGCATCCCTCTTCGCATTTATCCGTCGAACGACTACGCCTTAATCATGATTCTATTGTCAGGATTTAAAAGTGGCCGCGCCACCGTTTCATTTTTTTTCAGGCGCAATGCACATCTCTGAATCATAAAAATTCATACATACAATTTTATTTATTTCACTTTCAAATGATGATGTATCATCGACATTAGCTGAATCGATAATGTTTATTTCTGGTGATTGTTCAGGATAATTAGCATGAAATTTAACTTCCAGTAGAAGAAAGGCTATAAAGAAAAAAATTGATATAAGAGAATCAAAGAGATTATTAACATACGTCTAAGTTCATCTTCATCATTTGTTGTTGGTTTTATTATAAGTTTGAATTTAGGATAAGGATCCTCTGATAGTACTGTACTAATTTGAAGATATAAAATTATGTAAAAAAAAAAAAGAATGAATAATTTACAAAAAGAAAAACAAACCTGTAATTTCATCAGGATAGATTGAAGCCAGTGCTTCAATTTCTTGTAATTGTTCATCTTTAACCGACATGATTTTCTTTTATTTACTTATCCGTCAAATTCATTCAAGAATTGAAATCTAAAAATTTGTTGATAATTAAATTCAATAAGTTAATATTCAACTATCAGACGGCGTTCGACACCATCCGTAAGACTTAGTGGAACTAAAACGCATCGAATTCATTTACGGTTTTCTTAGTTCTACTAAGTCTTACTCATGGAGGCTAGACGTATTCCCTTGTAAGTAGATGTTTATTTATATATAAAAATCATATAGACGAGGGTGTAGATATTATCTAGAATGAAATGAAAAAAAGAATCATTAGAAATTTAACGAACAAAAAATAAACATAAATATAGGACAATGACCATTTCAGTTATAATAGCAAAAAAAAAACAGAAGTATGAAATTTATTTATTTGATTCTGATGGTTTTTCGTCTGTTTTTGATTTTTCTTTATTAGCATAGAATTGAAGACGCCGTTGTCGTAGTTCTAAAATTGAAAGATAAGTAAGATTTTATTTATTATATTAAATCATGATCATGTTTTGTTCCGAAATTAGCTTATCGTGTAAATTTATGCTAATGATATTCAAATTTTATATTATAAAGATCGTCTCACGAAAGGAAAGCAGCCAGCAGATATTTGAAAACTTTTGTTGGACTTCTAGCTTAAGAATTATGAATGGGCCTTTTTGAGACGAGTTTGGACGAATGTCAGCGTGCTAAAACGTATCCTTGCATTTGCCAACAGTGAGTATTTCGGTGAGAGAGAGAGGCATTGTGTCAATTTAGACAATTTTCTCGATTTCTACTTTGAAAACATACTTGCAAAGTGAGCTCAGTCATCCCTGAATGATTAATCCGAAACTCTTAATTCTTACTTATGCCACTTTGTAGAGAACAACTTCGTCTTTCCTTCTATACAAAAAAAATCGGTAATATAACGTAAGTTACACAGTAATTTTTGACTAAAAAAACGAAACGTATTTATCAAGTTCTATTGTATACTGTAAACATACCAATAGATGGCGTCACCTATCAACATTTTTATGGTACGCAATAGAACTTGATAATACCTATATCATCTAATAGAGGAAATTTTGCTTTACAAATATGCGTATGTTCTGTTGTTTGTTCAAAAGCTTATAATATCGCGCAACTGGTATAAATGGCACGAGTTATTCTACAAAATGGTGTAGGTTGCTTTTGAAATGCAGGATGGCCATCTTATCCGATAGAGTCCTCACTTTTCAATAAGCCTCGTTAGTATTCATCCTTAGTCAAGAAACTAGCGAGAGCCCGTGCATACTGCACGGATGCTGTTTTCCTGTAAAGTCTCACATCTGTCCTTTAGCCTTGATTCGGTAATAGACAAACAGACAGTTCGCATTATATATATATAGGAAGACCTTATAGCCTTGTTCCATTATTCCCTTATTCCTAACATCCCATGCAGCCTCATCAACTTATCCACTATACCCTTATCTCCTTATACTCTTTTAGTTTTATTGCTTATGTCCCAGTAGCTTTAGCCTCTTATCCCCTTTACCTTTATATCTTTATCCCCTTACCAGCTTATAACCTCATGTTCCTGTAGTCTTATTTCCTACCTCTTATAGCCTTATAGTCCTTGAGGACCTATGAATATCTCTATATAATAGCTCTTGAGGACCTATGAGTACCATCATATAATAGCCCTTGAGGATCTATGAGTACCTCCATATAATAGCCTTTTATAACCTATGAGTACCTCTATATAATAGCTCTTGAGGACCTATGGATGCCTCCATTTAGTAGCTCTTATGGCCCTATGAGCACCTCCATATAATAGCCCATGAGGACCTACGAGTCCCCAGTAGCACTTGGTGCTTTCCTCTTATAACCTTATTTGACCTTTGACCTGGACACCGAGACATCAGACAGACACTGAACACTATATATAGATGATATGAAATAGATTGGTGTTCTATCAAAAATTTATCCATTCAGATGCTTAGCTGTTTAGAGTAAACATTCAGCAATATCTCTTTTTTTGATTGTTCTAGCAATTAATAATTTCATGAGAAATTATCTTGCCTTCTACACTTGGTTCTGTCGTTGTTGTTGGTGGTGGTGGTGATGGTGGTGGTTGTATTGATTCAGTAGATGTATTATCTTTTTGTGTTACTGATGTATCATTAATTAAACTAGCAGCAATAGCTTGATCAAGTAATCTTTGATTAAGTGCATCTGTATCTTCTTCATGATTGTTTACAAATGTTGAATCATCAATTCCATGAGCATCTCGTAATGATTGTGCAAGAACTTTTTGTAAAGCTTTATCTTCTGAATTATCTAATTCTACACTTGCTTTAATAGCACGTTGAATGTCTCTTTCATCAAATGATGATGATGATGTTGATCCAGCTGAAGTTTTTGAATTTTTATTATTATCTTTATTACTAGCATTAACTCGATCAGTTAATGAACGATAATAATTTGGATCAATTGTATTATTTAAAAGTTTTTCATCAGCTGTACATGGTGGTAAATTTCCATGAACAATAAATATTGAATAACCACTATGTTGTAATTGTGTTAAATATAATGAAAGATATGTATTTGATATTAATTTTGGTACAATTGATATAGAATTTAAATCAAAATATTGCGTACCAAATCTTCGAATAGTTAACCAATGTTCACGTAAATTACATATATAAGCTTGAATTGACTGAGGATCATCACGTGCTTGTTGAGCTTTTGGATGTTGACTTGCATAAGGAATTAATTCAATTTCAAATACTTCTAATGCTTTTTGTAATACTTGAATACTGAAAAAGCCCGTATCTAGAAAACAAACCAAAAAAATAAATTAAAAGAAAAAAAAACCCAGAAACAAACCATCCATATTTTCTGATTCACCATATCCATGTCCTAATACATGTCTTTCTTGTTCATCAAGTTGTCTAAAAAACAAAAATAAATTTATTGAAAAAAAAAATGAAATGCTTTTTATTTTGTTATTCGATATAATTACCGAGCAATATCAGCTAATGAAATAGCTGAAAATATTTCGCGTTGTAATAGATTATTCAATGCATGTTGAGCACAAAGAGAACCTTCTTGTACTTCATGATAAATACCTGTTAATTTGTTTATTTCATTCATTTTTATCTTTTACAAAAAAAAAAAAATCTAGAAAAATATTAATACAATGAAATAGTTAAGTTATAAATCTTCTCAATTCTAGTTTAATGTAACCAAAAAAAAACAAAGGATAGATCTAGAGAGTTGTTTTGAAATTATCGAGATATTTCAATCAAATAAATCTTAAGATGCTCATATTCTCGACAAACATTTTTGTTTTCATTCAACTGATGATTTCGACTATCATTGATTACGGGTATGTGGATCCTTTCCAAGGGTCTTCAGAATCTTGAAACATTTTTGTTTTTCTCCGGCGGAGTTTCAGCGTTTTACTGTTTTTTTCCTTCCGCTCACTAATTCCAAGAAAATTCTTCGACTTTAGCAAAAATCTTGTTTTGCAAATAGAAATCGTCCTTATTTCATCTAACGGGGAGATTCTCCAACTAATAAATTCTTTTTGAGTCAAGACTACATGCATTATATAGGCTCAAATAAGTTATAAATATTTTGAAAAGAGTTCAGACCTTTGGTTTATTGCGATTGAGATTATGAATGTCGTGGTCTTCGTTAGGAAAACTGATTTTCAAATTTCGACTTGAAACTTTGCGCAGAGAATGGTGTCTTGCGAATGTTTTAATTCTTATTGTTGTTCCTACTCTAAGATAGTATCTTTTACATAGCGTAGATTCGATGTTAATAATAGAAAATCACAAATCACAATAAACTATTATCTCTATGCAAAGTTTCAAGTCAAAATTTGAAAATCAGTTTTCCTAACAAAGACCACGACATTCACAATCCCAATCGCAATAAACCAAAGGTCCGAATTCTTTTCAAAATATTTATAACTTATTTGAGCCTATATAATGCACATAGTCTTGACTCAAAAGCGATTAATAAATCGAGCGGCTTCCCTCGTAAGTTCATCTCTTAGTTTTGAATGATTCACCATCGAAGAGTGGCTGTATATTTGCCGCCAGGTCAGGCCTGCTACGTAGTTCGACACGTATTCACAATACACTGTGCTCGATATCACATAACCATGTAATGACTCTGAATAAGTCACTAATGGCTTGGTCATCCGTCCGATAGGATGCTGACTAGTTTGTATGAAAAGCTCGAGCAATTGAGTGCAAGAACTGTCATTAGGTAGCACATCATATCGATATGCAGATTCCATTCTTCCTTTGTTATGAGCAATAATTTGCTCGATAGATTTTATTTTGTCTATTAACGAGCAATATCTAGAATCACATTCTCATAGAAAAACAATTGATAAATAAATTTTTTCATGTATAGATATATATATATATATTTTTTTTCTTCAGAAAATAAGACAAACGAAATGCGTGACAACATCAAGAAAAATGAAAACGATCTTACAATAACATTGACATAAAAGAAACTGAGCAGAATGATACGAAAAGATTCTATTTAATTGACATGTTGCTTTCCGGTTGAGTGTATGTGCTTTTTCAAAAAACAAAAAAACAAAAAACTTTGAGGAAAAAGAGAGACAGATCAATAACATAAATAATAGTATGAGGAAAAAAAAAGTCAAACAAGTATGAATAAGTGTGTATATATATATATATATATTTAGATAAATAGATTAAGAACAAAGTTTAGCTTTATCCCATTTAAGAAGGAATATAAGTAATCAACGAGAAAAAATTTTCAAGAGAATAAATAGGCAAAAAATGTTTTTTTCTTTTTTGTTTTATTGTCTTTATTTAAATAATAATCAGTAACAATGAATTCGATATTCAATATTATTTCTTTCCATCTGTACTATGACCACTACCAAAATCAAGATGATCACTATGTGGTGTTGTATTACTAGTATTCATAGGTCCTCCACTAGCACCATGAAAAGGTTCATGATCATCATCATTAAAACTCATAGCTGATCTTGATGGTGTTATTTTTGATTTAACTGCATTAACAGTTGAACCAAGTGTACTTTCGAATGTTTTGAAATAAGTTGAATCTAAAAAAAAACAAAATTTATATTCAGAAAGAAAAACATCAAGCAAAATAAAACATACTTCGAAGAGAACCAATACCAGATTTAAGTGTTGTATTAACTGTTTGTAATGTTGGTGCAATTTTTTCTGAAGCAGCATTTAATGTTTCAGCTGTTTTTTGATAAGCAACACTTGATTTTATATCATTAACTGTTTCATTCCAATCTTGTTTTATATCATCAACAATACCAATACCTAATAATGTTTTTAATTCATTTTCACGTTTTAATTTAGCACTAAGTACTTGACGTAATGTTACAATTTCATCTTGAACCTTCATTAATTCTAAAAAAAAACAAAATATTCAATGATCAAAATCAGATTCATTATGACTTTTTCATTATATTGTTCCGCTTCAGTAAAAGCCTCCATATCACTTAATACAATTGATAGTATATTCGACCTTTATGAATGTCATTGAATCAAATGATTAACATGCAAAGTTCATATAAGAAATTTTTATTCCTATACTACAACACTTATTTTAGATCATATTTCATAATAATCTAAACAAATGGGATAGGCCTCACTACACTAAATAAATCTCGGAATGTTCGAATAAGAAATATTTTTCGAATTGATTTTGAATATTTATAAAAATGAAATATTTACCTTGACGATAATCTTCTTCTTGTTTAAGACGATCATCTTCACGTAATTCAAATTGTTGATTATTACCACCTGTAGCTGATGCATTTATTCCATTATCATTATCAAATGGTCTTGGCATTTTTGTTGAATTTTGGTTATTATCCATATTTTCTTTCTAAATAGAACTATCTAAAAACAAATATATATATATATATATACTATTTATTTATCAACAAAAGGAAATTTATCATAATAACTATTGAAAAATATTATTTGAAATTGAATTCAATTTGTTATGTTAATTAACTATAAAAAGAATATATTATTAAATCAATAGAATTAGACGATGAATAAAATAGTATATCTAGAACAAAGAAAAAGATGTATAAATATTATTAAGCTTTTTAAGAAAATAGTGAATAACACAAGACAAAAAAAAAAACAAAACTTATTCCATTTAGAATTCTGCTCGAAATGTATATAGATTGACTTTTATGTGAAGAAGAAAAAAAACTCTGATTGATGGTAAAGGTTACTTTTTTTCTTTCTTGTCTTTGACGACATTTGTTTTGTGTATGGCTTTCTTATTCTTATCAAAACACCGGTTTCTTTTTTTTTTACTCATTCTTCAATGTGAAACGAACCAACGAAAAAAAAAAAAAAGAAAATGACTTATTCTATATATTTTGAGTGACACTATAAATATATAAACGTAATTGAGTTTTGTAAAAAAAAAAAATATATTACACTGTTAAATTAGCCTTTACTTATACGGTCGTATCTATTAAATTTTATTTTAAATTAATAAGTTGATATTTATATTTTGTTTTTCATATATAGAGATTAAAGGTTATGTCGAAAGCAAATTGAGAATACTTTCTTTTTGCTATGGTTCATTAAAGAAAAACGATGATTTAGTAACAATTAACAAGAAAATATTATTTCATAAGTTGTTGTCATATGAAAGTCGTGTACACATAACGATTGTCTTTGACCTCCTTTTGATAACTACTTGACAGATTGTATATCAATATGTAACAGATTTTAGGGTTATAGAGGACAGAACTAAGAATAGATATTATGTTTTATTCCGGTCTAAAGAAATAACAATGATAAGATAAAGCCGATTTACAACCTAAAAATCTCTGATTAAATATAATTGAAAAAAAAATGCTAATATTTCTTCAACGAAAGTTACTCTCATTCAATAGCATGATATCTTCCCTACACCTAACACTAGATGTAGCTTTGGACGTATGATCAGCTTGATACAGACTTCTTGAGCTACTCATATACACTAACTAATCATAAAAGTAGGTATATGTCACAATATAGTCAGTATGCTTTCGGTCGTTATGCCATTTCCTAGCTAGTTATTATACAGATCACTTTGTTGATCAACATAGTTAACCAACCATGACGATCTATTCTATTTTCTAACCTAATCACATTCTGATTAAAATATAGTTTTACATAAAAACTTACGAATTTTCCTTGAATGAAGATTCATATAATTTTGTCATAATAAAATTTTATATTAAATCTTAAATAAAACAAAAAGAAAAGATACAATATAATATTATTTCTTCTTTTGTTTCGAGTTTCTTCCTCCTTAAATTGAAATAAATATTAGTAATAATTAATAATTTCCCGATGTTCGATATTTAACATAAAAAATATAATAAGTAGGACAAACAAACAAAAAAAAAGAAGAAGTGAGAATATAGACACTAACAAATGAGAAACAATCTAGAAAGCTGAGAAATCTATTTGACTACTCAACAGGAGTACTGTTCACGAAATCGAGAAAGAACAAAACAAACAGATCATAAAGCATCATAATGGAATGCTTGAGCTTGAACTTTACGTTCACGATCATCTTCAACCTATAAGAACAGATAATTAAATTCATAATAAAAAGACAAAAACTAAAACAAACCTTTTCACGATATTGTAATATAGCAAGTACACCGGCTAGTACAACTAATGTTACACCTAATGCAATTCCTGTATGAAGAATCATTCGACTAGGTGTTAGAAATAATTTGCTATGCCATCTAAATATTCTCATGAGATGATTTTAGAATTAAATTTTAGAATTAAATTTTTTATTACTTTTCTGGATTCATTAATGGAATTGGAATGACAACAATTTGTGAATTTGGAATCATTTGTGTATAAGTTCGATATAATTTATTCTAAAGAAAATCATATTCAAATAAAAAAACAAAAAGTATTTTATCAAAAAATTAAAAACCGAGTCTCTATTTGGTGGAACTCCAACAGTTATTTTTTCAACAAAATTTGGTGTCGAACCAAGACCAATTATAACATATGGTAATTCAAGTGTTAATTGACCAGCTTGAGACATTTGAACAGCTAGATGGAAAAAAAAATCAAATCAATTACAATTCTATTCAACAAATAGTAAATTATTTGTTTGATGACTGTAGTAGTTCGACTAGAGTGCATCGAATCCTGGAACCAACCCAATGCGCTGTAGATTTAACTCTCTCAAATGAAATTCAAGTAATAGACTTCTATTTCAATTTATTTACTTTTTTTTTCTATACTGAATGTTCATATACATTAAGCTCTCTCTGTGCCCTACACATTATGAAACGTGTAGTATCTACTCTGAAATAAAGTCTTGTAAAACGAGTTTTATCAGCAATAACTTAGTTTTAAAATTGGACAAAAATATCACAGGGTTAGGAGATTTTATCAGGTTAAGATTACCGTAGTCGAGACTCCCTAAAGGAATTCCTGTCGTGAGTTCCTGTGGGAGTTAAGAGGGGATTCAGGTACTTCATAGAGATTCTTCAGGAGCTTCCTAGGGAATTGATGAGTATTATCAGGGTCTCTCCAGAAGTCATCATTGAAATTCTCTGAAAAATTCAAATTTATGAAAATTTTAGAGGGACTCTCTAAAATTTGGGGGCTCCTCGAGAAGTCTTAAGGGATCCTGAGATATGCAACTCTCTCCGGGGACTCATGACAAGGATTTCGCATTTTTCAGCGAACTCCCCGGTGATTTTGTTGGGGAGAGTGGACTAGGGTAGACAAAGCGCAAATAACATACAATTTTCGTTATCTTCTTTAAATCATCGATAGCAGGTCTCAAAACGAGCCGCACGGCCCGACGATTTAATCCTTTTTTGACATAACTTTTTCTGAGATTTGGCTCACCCTGGTGGGGGGGATAGGGAGAAGTTTCTCCACGCTACCCGCTCTTGATCATCACTTTTAGTAAAAGCTGAAAAATATGGACTAGCTGTCTATTGAGAAAAAAAATCTTTGTAAACGAAGTTTCTTTGGGGTGCGAACTGAACCATAAAAAAGTGGCTCGATTTTTGGGATCTACTCTATAGATACGGCCTAAAATAGCATAAGTTTTGATGCGTTGATTGATATTTTTAATAGCAGATCTTGCATTGGAAACATTCTTATTGTAAAGTTTATCTGTTGCTGTCAATATACTTCCTCGAGGTTTTAGTAGTTACGTATTTTTCACCAATTATTTCAACATCTTTTCCGGTAATGCATTAATAATCCTGATTCTCTTTAAATTGTGAGATTGTATACACTTTCATGGATTTACTTGGTCTCACTGACCACTCTCATATATACATGTATCTACCTGCTAATTGAATTGTATAATCTTTAATTCCATTCATAATTGTAATTGTTTCCATTTTAATTGATTGACCTGGTTGATTATTACCATATGGCTAAAAGAACGAAGATTTTTTTTTTTGTTCAATCAATTTTAATTAATTTAAATTTTACTAATTTCTTTTGACTAGAACATGTTGTACACATAGAACTACTAAGAACTATAACAAAGAAAAAAAAGGAATAATTATCGTTTTCTAATCTATTTTGTTTTTTTTGTTATTTACCCATAACTTTAATAAAATGTACATCTTGTACAATAGAATTTTGAAAAGCAGTTAATTTAAAAGTTTCATTTTCATCTTTTTGTACAACAAGTAAATCTGGATAACCCTAGTAAATTAAACAAAAAAAATATATATAATAATGAATCTATATTCAAAATATATATTTTACATTTTCTAAAATATCAAAAAATGCGGCAAGAGTAGTATTTGTTGCTGCTAAGACAAATTTTTCATGTGTTTGTGGTATAAATGTACGATTATAAGTACATGGTGATTTTATATCTCCTTCACATGGTTGATTTAAAAGAACAATTGAAATAGTTGTACCCGATTCACTATTTAAGAAATAAAATAATATATATATATATATTTAATCAAAAAATATATAATTCAATCAACCTATCATTCATAACTGTAACCATATCTGGATAACCATCAAGATTATAATCAGCTATTTTAATACTAATTGGTATTTGCTTAAATGGTGATGGAAATTCATCTCGTAAAGGAAATCGTATTCCATTACCGAATTGAATCGGTAATTGATGCCACTAGAACAAAAAAAAACATATATGTAAGCTTGTAGAGAAAGATTTCTTCTATCGACATACGCAATAGAACTATTGCCCATTTCAAAATAAAAGACGGGTGGGTATTTTTTCAATAACTTTTCATAGGAGCAAGATAGAGAGCTACGGTTTTCATCATTGGAAAGAGGAGATGAAGACGCATCAAATCGTATAATATAGGTTTTTCCAGGAGGCTCTTTAAAGTTTTCTTAATCGAGTTTCTATTTTGTGGCAAAAACGCAAAAAGTGATTTTTTTCACAGCAACTAACGGAAAAATCGGCTGAGAATTTCCACTAAGACACGTATAATTTCTGAACGAATAGATCTAAAAGTCTCGGCCTTGTGTATAGTTTGTAGATCTGCTGTTAGCGGTTCAAATGCACACGAAATTATTGAAAAATTACTTTAGTCACCTTACGGAATATGTTCACTTTCAAAAACGTCGCATGAAGTCTTTGAAAAAACCATGCCAAATTATCTTAGAATATACAATTCGATGCGTTTCCATCTTCTCTTTTCATTGGTGAAAATCGCAACTCTCTACCTTACTTCTATCAAAAGTTATTCAAAAAATACCCACCCACCTTTTATTTTTAAATGAACAATAATCTGAAGGCGTGAATCAAAATCAATAGGAGGCAATTAAACGAAAATTCTATGTTTTATATCATGTGAAATTATGTTTTTTCTTTCTTACTTCCAATTCGAGTTCTAATCTCGAGCTAATTCTGTAATCAAAAATCATCGAAAAACTTTTAACTTACTGCATTATCATCTCGTACATAAATTCGACTTTGTGAACAACTTGTATCCATACAAACAGGAAGAATATGTTCTAATTCACCATCGGCATCTATAAAAAAAAAAAGAAAGAATTATTTCATTAAAAAAAAATATATAAATGAATTTCTTACCTATATCAGCAAATACTGATAAATGATAAATAGCAACACCAGGTGGTGGATCATATTCTTTAATTAATGTTAATTTTGTTATGGGTAATTCATGTATACGATATTTTATTTTATTATCAGTTTCAATTGTTAAAAATAAATCTAATCAAATAAACAAATGAAGAATATTTAAAAAAAAAATAATCCTATTAAAGATTATGCGAACAATGCATTCTTCATTCCTTCACTGATTTAGTTACTTTTACTATTCCTTCTAGATTCTCACATCCAAAGATTCATCGTCGTATGCGCGAGAACCATAAAGGTACCGTCATGCATGTAAAGTATGATGTCGCACGTACGAGACGTTATTTCTACGGTGATGTACGCCTACCATATATGACATGAATTACGTACTACAACGTACATACCAAACATTTGCGTGTTACTATTGGTCGATTTTCATCCAAGATCTACGGATGTTACTTCATCTGATTTTATAATGAACTGTAGAAAAAATAATTTTAATTATTTTTATTTTTGAGTTTCAAACTATATACATTTATTGAGAAAATATTATTAGACATGTTCTCTTTGTTATTTATTGATTCATAAAAATAAATGAATAACAAAAAAAAATGTCATATTTGATATGTGTGACGTAACACGTACGAGTAGACACGAGTTTTTTTTTTCTACTATTTATTCTCACAACATATATTCGTTCACATACTTGTTTTGAAACATGTATATAAATGCGCTTTGAGTGAAGGTCACACTGAATGGCAAACTATATACTCATACAAAATCAAGTTAATTGAATTAGTTCATAAAAAAAAATGGGAAATGAAAGATGTGTAATCTAGTTATTTTTTGCACATTTATCACCATTATTATCCTAGTCAATATTGTATATATGAACACATAATACTATTTTGTAATGTTAATATATATGTTCAGAAATTTAAAAAAAAAAAAAAAAAAACTAACGGATTTATAACTAAATATTTGACATTAATAAAATTTGTATTACTCATGGGCAGGCCATGACAAGTTAATGACTCGTCAATTTATAAAGTAGCCTGCGGGTCGAAGAAAAAAAAATGATTATACATTCTTTTTAGATCATCATTTTATTCCGTATAGAATAATTAATATACTAACCAGCAATAAGATCATGATTAAGATCAACTGAACCTTGTGTTGAACTAGGACGAAGTCTATCAATATTAGGTAAAACTTCGATAGGTGATCTGGTAGCATTTTTACTTCAAAAAAAAAAAAAAAATTTTTCAATATGATAAAAAAGTATTTCCTTACAGATAAACACAAGCTGGTTTAAAAGTTGCACCATCAGTACTAACCATGCCTAGTAATTCAACATAAGAATCACCATTAGCACTAAAAGAAAAAGATTAATGAATTATTTGAATATTTTAAATGCGCTACACTTACTCAAGAGTTGTTGGAATACTTTCAAATAAATAATCCAATGGTTGTAAAGCATCTAAAGATTTTATAATCAAATTATGAACATCAAAAAAAAAAAGACTAATATCATCTCTGCAGTACTGAGTTTCTTCCTCAAAAATTTATTTCCTTGTTATGCCACTATCTTTCATATACTTACTTAATTTAACTCTATCACCCCAAAATATTCCACCATTATATCCAATTTGATCAGATTCTTTTTTATAAAGTACAAATAAATCAAGTTTACTATCACCATTAAAATCAGCTGCTAATGCATCATAAATAATTCCCGTTATATTTATACGGAATTGTTCTTTTGATGTTGGTGATCGATCATCATTTAACATGACACGAATCATATAACCTATTCATAATAAATAATAGATGTCAATATTAATATATATTTTAATTTCTACCTTTTGTATTACGACAAAATATATCAATAACTTTATCAGCATTAAAATCTCCAAATGCTAATGGTATACAATCATCAATAGAATATTTTTTATGTTTACCAAAATTTATATCAAATACAGGTTTTTCATCATCAATAATATCGATAACACTCTTTGTTTGATCATTTTTCCCATTAACAAATGTTTGAAAAACAAGAATAATAATCAAAAAATAATGAAAATATATTGAATAAGGTAAAATACGGAATTTCTTTTCATAATTCATATCATCTAAAACAAAAACAAAAAAAGATTATTTTAATTTTCATCGTAGAAATATTTTTCAGCGCGTTTATATTTAGTAATTAATTCGACAAAAAATATATATATATATATTTGCAAACTAAAATATTTATTCTATTTAACAACAAAACAAGGATATTATGTCGACTGAAACATAAGGTATTCAAATGGTCTAGTGAATAAGCATCAATCATTCATTTATTCTACTATTACATATGACTGGTTCAGAGTTTTTATCCAATAGGATAAAATAGAAAACACCTGAAAAAAAAACAAATTATGATATTTTTAAAATAGAAGAAAGACAAGTATATAATGTTAGTAGTTACACCATCAAACGTGATAGTTCTTTAATAATGTCGTAAATAACAATTATAAGCGACATCTATTGAAAATAAACGTGTTCAAGGTTTTTTTGTCACTATGAAACCTGCTGTTAATTTCTATATAGTTCAGCAATCATTTAAAGCTAAAATTCTGGAAATAAATACGTATAGATTGAATGAAAATGATTAGTCTTTGATGATTTTGCATAAGAGCCATTCCACATAAGCCACGATCGACTTCTATAGAAGCTGTTTCAATCGATGATCGGCGATTTGATTGGTTTTTATATATGTTATAGGGACAAATGTTTGATGAATTTCTAACGAGAGAACATTCCCAACTGTCATATCGCTTTTGAGTCAAGTGTATGTGCATCCTGTAGGCCCTAATGATCTATGAATATTTTGAAAAAAGTTCGTGTCGCTTACTTATTACTGCCGAGATATTGCATTTTTACTGTATTTATAAGCAAAACGCTGTGCTCGCCGTCAGAAATCCTAGAAAAGCTGAATTTCGAATTTCATCGTAAACTTTGTACAAGGATAGATCTCAATGAGAATAGTTTATTGTGAAAGTTTCAGATCTTTTGATTGCTCCTAGTCTGAAATAAAAACATCGGAATGTGCTGGTGTGTATAAGCTATTTTGCTATAGCTGTATCTTAGGTTAGGAACAATGAAAAGATCTGAAACTTTCACAATAAACTATTCTCACTGAGATCTATCTCTATGCAAAGTTTCAAGTAGAAATTCGAAACTTAGTTTTTCTAGTGTTTCTGAGGGGGACTACGGCTTTTTTTCTTAAACATACAGTAAAAATGCAATATTTCAGCAGTAATAAGCAAGCGACACGAACTTTTTTCAGAGTATTCATAGATCATTAGGACTTACAGGATGCGCATACACTCGACTCAAAAGCGATGTGACAGTTGGGAATGTTCCCTCCTAAGTGTGTAGTTTAAAACCATACAGACCGGATTTTGCTCTAGATTGGCTCCTTCCAAAATTGCATTTTTTACGAGGATCCTCTGAGCCATAGAGACTAGCTTCAGAGAGCTGAATTTTTTACCAGAGCTAGTATTCAATGAGATCTCTTTGTGAGCAAAATTTCAGCTCTCTAACATCATCCGTGTTCAATCGATATGTGTATATGCACAAAATATTAAAAAGTGAAATTTTTTTCATGTACTTGTTAGTCTTGGTCAACTCACTAATGGTTCATTCATTTGAGCTCGACGTTTTTTATTGCTAATACGAAAACTTAAGATAGGCTTACAGTAAAAATTTCAAGTGGAATAGATGTATTATTGAAGAGATATCGGTGGCACAAAAAATTGCAAATGTCGTTTTTTGATGATGGTGCGCTTTCAGAAAAATATCAATATCTCAAGAACGGAATAATATTTCATCAATTGAGCAGGATCAGTCTTGACTTACGTGGAATGATTTATAATGAGTTTGTTGAACTGGATAGTAAGATGATTATTAATGTGTCAACTCTCTGTTCTAGAAGATACATTTTGAAATTACTGAGTTGAGAGTAACAACAGAAGAACCCGGCGGTTTCGAAACAGAATGGAATCGAAAACCGAGCCGGAATCGTGATATAAAGGAGAACGATACCAAAACTTTTTAAGTGTTGCATGACCTGAAGTCGACGAGATTGATCAACAATTTCACCAGCGGTAAATCATATTTATTTCTCACAATTGAATGGAAAGAAAAATTAAAAATAGGCAAACGTATGATGAAGACCCCTAAAAAAAATCGAGCGTCATCAAAAAAATAACTTTTTTCAGTATGTACTTTCATAATCATTATGACTTTGAGTTATATCCCTGTTAAAAGCGAGTTTGTTGCCATAAAAAAGACGATTTTTCGTACAGCAATTGTTCGATGTAATGTCCTACACTTTTCACAATTGTACCCGATACTCGAGCCCGAGCTAATCAGTATCCGTCAGACACTTTTACAGTCACAAGACGATTTTCAAAATTATATTCTATATGAAAAAAGTATACTATTTAATTTCTTCTATAAATAGCAACAAAAAAACAAGTGATTTAAGATTCATTTGCTGTCTTTTTGCTTCTAAAAGCCGATGAATTTCGCTAAGTATACATTTATTTGTTGGCTGATGATGCTGAAATGGAACGAAGTGTTGATGCCAAACGTTATAATTGTGAATACATTGATGAAATACATATTCACCATTTTGATAATTCATTTTCCTCTTCATATACTCAATTACTTCATCATCATCTGTAGATGAATTTTCATTAAAACTAAAACGAATTCTTTTAGTAAAACAATATCATTGGTCACTTCTCTACTAGACCCCAATGTCTTCTGTTAAATATAGAACAAACTTTTCCAAAAAATATTGGCTGAATATACCATTGAAGATACAATAGACACGAAAAATGAATATTACTAAAATCGCCCTAGCCCTAACTAAGAACGAAATATAAAGCTGGAATTTCTTTCTATGTGTAACTAGGTGCTCTTTAATATTTGCACAAATTTCTAGCTCTATTTGATTCTTTATTGACTCAAAGGTTATACAGCTGATTAATAGTCATGATTTTCTCATAATTTTTCTTTTATCTTTTGAAGAACTTACTTTTTCAAGAACGAAATATAACTTAAAAATTATTCTATAAATTATTTGACATACTTTTATTAGGTCACTGGTTTCAAGGGTATCAAAACTGAGGTTTTTTTTTTCTTTTTCGTTTTTACTAATTGCCATTGTACTATCGGTTCCGAGTATTGCTTGAATAATAAAATTGTATTGATAACAGATAATTAATCAGATAGGTCAATTGTGCTTTTTTTTACAACAAAACACACTCTATCCGAAGTCTCTTCACATGAAACTAAGCAAGCACAACAGATTGATTTTATCATTTTCATTCGTTCCATATAACCGATTGCATCTGTTCTTTGCACATATTTAAGAATGAAAAAAAAAAAGAAGCGCGATCTCACACACTTATGTTTCAATGTGCACTTGAAATAAATGAAATCTCGTTTTTCCCCCATTTGATCTATAATAAGTATGCGTGCATTATTACCAGTCTCAAAAGACCGAAGTAACATCATCTTCAAAATTAAATTTTCCGTTACTCATCACATGTCAAACTTGATTGTCTATTACATAGAGTAGTTCTACATCACGCATATTTTCGTTTCTTAGTGCATGAATTTAATATGAACTGTAGGGACAAAATGATTATATAGAAAGTTGCTGCTTTTCGACACTAGCTTTTAAATCAAATATATTGAAAAAATATGCATTATATGTGATGATAATAATAATATTCATGACGCGTATATGTGTCGATATGTTTAACGAATTCTTTCAGGATGCGTAAAATAGTTAATAACATAAAAAATTAAGAATGTGATATTCAAGTCAATAAATAGACGAGAAAAAAAAACTAATACATTTGTATACTTCAATATTGTAATGTTATTTACTTGTCCGACATAGATATCTTTATTAATACTCGATTGATAAGACAAATTTTTTTGTACATCGAATATTCAGACAAACAACAAAAAGAAAAATCTCTTGAGAATGCTTAATAAAGACATGTTTATATAATGAATCAGTTTAAATTTATAAACTTTATATTCAACATAATGGATGAAATATGAGATAATATTATAAATACATATTTAAGATTAGTATTAAGTCTATCTTCGAATTTTTATCCCATTCTCGAAAAAAACTAGTGATATTTTTTGTTTTTTTTTGAAATTGATTATTAAAAGTGTAGCATATAAATTCATATAGAAGAAAACTAATAACTTTATATCAATGTCGAATAATATAATATTCACATATTTTTCGAAAATATGAGAAGAAAAACTTTGATAAGAAGGTTCGAGAAAAAGAATCGTTCGATTTTTACTTTTTACTTCTGTAACCCCATCGATTCTTCTATCTCACTGGAAGTATTGCTATAAGTACAAAGTACAAATTCGTTCGGACTTATTTAAATGAAACTATACTAACTTACATATATACAAAAGTTTACTTCGACTTATCAAATACAAAATAATGACTCTATTGAAACAAACTTTTAGATAATATTATAGAATAAACTTATCTATTTATACTTTGCAGAAAACGAGCGGCGATAGATAGTCTAACTTTTTCACAGAAAGAATTGTTGGTTGTTATTCAATAATACTCGTTAACACTCATATTTTATTTTTCTTGCAATAGCCTTTATATATAACTCTATACATTACAAAAATAAATCGTCATGCGATGATTTCTTTGAGAAAGAGATATTATTAAATATGTATATAATATTGATTTGTTATTATTTCTATTGAAAAAATTAGACTTGAATTTGAATACATTAAGTAGTTTTTAATGTTTATTTTATTATTTTCTTTTTCTTCTTCTTGTTTTTTTTTCTGTTGCTTCTATTAATGTTGTTACACAAAAAAATAGAAGAATGAAAACAAAAAAAAAAACAATTATAACACAAATCTACATAGGCCATAACACATTATACCTTACAACTTTAATTTTTCTGTTAACTAAATTCTAAATACAATATAAAACTTCCCAAAATCACAAATCAAGGGAGAAGAAAAAAAACAGAAACAAAAAAAAAACAAAACAAAACAAATATAGACCTTACACCGGGACTAAACTAAACTCATAATTATAAACCTAAACTTAAAGTAAATATTATCTATACTTTCTTTTATTGTGATGAAATGCATATTTTAATTTTTTATTACGTTTTTTTGATGTTAAATGTAATTTCATATGATTAATTTTCATATATATAATAAATGATGGTGGCCATTGTCTAAATGTGTTAAAATTATAATTTGTTTTCATCTTCTTATTTTTGTTAATAATTTTATATGCAACACTCTGTCGTACGTGCATGTCGTTCGATATTCTACGACACACGTAGACGGTGTTGCGTAATCCTCAGCTCGGATGTTTTTTATAATAACTATAAATAAGATCATAATCAACCAAACAAACAATTTGATGATCAATACGAGCATAATCCGAATATAAAAATATTTTACGATGTTTATCAAGACTATTTGATGCCTATTTAATAAAAGAGAATAAAAAAAAATAAAAATATTTATTTTTATTAAGAAAATTTTTACCGATCCACCAAAAATTGTTGTTGTAAATTTTCCTGGATTAAACATTGAAATAACTTTACGAACTATATCATTATATTGATGATATGGAACATTTGTTTCAAAACTAACATATGAAAAATCTGGTTCAGGTGTTATATGAATTGTAAAATAATAACCATCAGGTAGAAGACCATTCATTGAATAACCACATGGATTAAATAAATAATCGAAAATTTTTGCATTTGGAAAAATTTTATCAATACCAGCTTTCTATAAATATATATATATATATATATATTAAAATTAATACATTGTTTTATATAGAACGTGATTTGATAGTAAAGAATAACAAAATATATCAAATTTTATCATATAATCTCTTAACAGAAGTGTTCTAAGTAGGGCTCTAGCCTCGAACTTAGAGGCACCACTTCGTCAATCTTGAGAAATTTTCGTTTTTCCCCCTTTATTCTCACTCTTGAACTCAACAAAAAATGATAATAAACAAACATACTTTCGTTGCTTCAGCTGCTGATTTTGTATGTTCTTGAAAGAAAATTTTCATTTTTTCCTGATCTAAGTTCGTCATAATAACTTCCAATGTTTGATCGGATTTAGTACGAACACATGCCTTGTTCAATGTATATAAATACCTATATAAATATTAAAAATGTTTTCAATATAACAATAAAAACAAATTTCTTATTCAATTATAATCAAGGGCGTCACATCCTTCTGCTTCTAAAAATCTCTGATCGTAATTTTTGTTTTTTTCGTCTATCGACATCTATTAATTGAGGTGTATATACACAAAACTATGACTCACCAACAATCGATATTAGTACGACCAAGAACATATGCGCTACCACCTGAAAAAAAAGCATATAAATTGAGCAAGTCCAATTATAATATCAGTACATGTTTATTTACCTTCGAAAAGTGAATCAAGATAAGCGACCTGAAAAGATAACGAAATAAATTTTATCAGAATTTTGAAATCATTTTTTTTTTTTTTATACTTCATGTTCGAAACTTGTATGTGGTTCTTTTTGTAATTCAGGTCGAAGAAATTTTCGACGACTATAGAAAACTTGCTAAAAAAAATAAATATTCCACAATAATAATAACAAAATTTTTGTTTGTTTTCTTTTTTTTTTTTTTACATCGACAATATCAAAATCACAATAATCTCGTGCAAGTTCTAATATTGGTTGAACTGCATGAAGTAATGTTGTTTCACCACATGTTTTTAAAACAAAATGTGTACGAAAAATAAACATGCTTGATTCACTTAATACATATGTATCCGTTGTAGCCGATTGTGCATATTGAAGTACTTTACAATTAACCAAATTTAATACTTCTTCAATAAGATCTCTGAACAAAACAATGAACTAGAGTTCAATAAGAATTTTAAATAAATAATTAATTACCGAGGAATATTTCGTAAATCATTTCGTGATGTATATTTAATTGTATCACTTGTACTTGTTGTAAACCAAATTTCTAATAATTTTTCTGCTCCTTCAAAGAAATGGCCAGTCATTCGCTTTTTTTGAGCGACAAAAGATTGCTGATAAAAAAAAAAAAAAAAAAATTTGTGTTGTTTCTTCTATAAACATAAGACTCTTTCATTACTTATATATATACTCTACCAACATTATATATATTTTTTTCTCTCTCTCTCTTTCTTCTCTCTTTTCTCTTTTTCTCAATGTGTATTCGTCGAATCGGCATCGAGACAACTAGGCGAGTCGCCAAATTACTCTTGAGAGTAACCAACAATCATATAAATGAATGTCCTTTATTCGCCTTCTATTCTCTTTCTTTTTTCTTTTCTTCTAGCTCGAAAACATCATCACTAAGAAATAGAAACAATCTACATATTATTTTAATCAGACGTTCAAGAAAGAAAAAAAATGAATTTCGATATATTTATTCAATCGCAATCGACTTTTAATATTTTTCTAGGAGTTAAATAATTAATATTACAATTGAGATATAAACATTTCTATAATTACAAAACTCCTAGGAAATTATTATAAAAAAAAAAAAAACAAACTATTATTTTTCTTCTATTATTAGACTCAAAACAAATAATAGTTTTTTTTTTCTCAAACCACAATGACAACGAAAAATACATTATGTGGACTGACAGCTGAAACCACCTGTAAACAACTCTACTCATAAAAATACTTTCTATCAAAAATAAACAAAACAAAGAAAGGTATTTATATTTATATTTGACCTAGAGTTATATACGTATTGAAAATTTAACCATATACATATAAAACAATAATTACAATACAAAAATAAATCAAAAAAAAGTTTTTTTTTTATCGATTGAACGATATAGAAACGAGAATTACATTCGTGCACTTTGTTCTTGTAAAATCTAAAATAAAAAAACCTAAAAGTTTTCATTCTCTATTGTTATTTTCCTACTTTAACTCGTTCAAATACAATATATAACTTGAACTAACAAGTGAATGATTGATAAATAAAATATTTCAAAGATTTTTATCATAAAAATATAATAATATTTATTAATAATCTATTCAAAATTTTCCAAACATTATATTAATGATGACAATATAATTGTGTTAATTCTTTTTCTTCAGATTGAATTACTCAATAAACATGATTTGTTGTATCCTGAAAACAACAAAAAGAAAAACAATCAAGATTTTATATTTCATCTTTATTAAATGATGAGTATGTACATATAATCTATTCTATCAATTAAGAATGATTAAAGATTATAGAGACATTATCTACTATTTTCTAGAGATGCTAACACTAGAATCTGTATTAATGATAATAAAAAGTTGTTAAACATGTATCACTAAAACTTACATCTTATTAAATTTTTATTTTATATTTTTCATGAATTCTTTCTTTAATGTGATCAATTATATGTTTGTAAATTCAACTTTTTCGTCCTTGAAAAAAAAACAGAAGACAATAATAAATATTATAAAATTAAAACTTACAAGATCAATTTTAAGATTCTATTCAAACTAAGAAATAATTTTTCTTTTGGATAATGTTATACAAATTGTTAGAAAATATTTATCATGAATATTTCTATCAGTATTGATGTTTATTTTATCATTTTCTTCATTTAGTATTATAGAAAAATAAAAAGATTTGCTTTTTTTTTTCATTCGTTCGAAGGACAAAATGAAGATATATATATATTTTGAACCTTCTTAATGTTGCGAATATTGATTGAGTATGAAATAAATCCAATACGCTTTTACTAGATGGCAGTAATGAATAGCACACGAACATATGTGTATTTTTTTTCATTTATTGAACAGTCTTTTTGTTAATTCAAAGCTATTTTTCTAATTAAAGATTTTATTTATCTCTCTAGTAAATTAAATCTTTAACTAGATTGATTTTTACCGATGAAATATATTGTACAAAAAAATTGCATTGATAATTGAATAAAGAAAATAAAAATTTGTTATCAAATTTCCAAAGATAGAGATTTCAGAAAACCAAAGCTCTAGTTTTTTAGCACTTAGAACGCTTAAATATAATTTTGTTTATACTACATAGCAGAGATTGGATCAGTTTATTTTCAAAAAAAAGCATGAACTAATCTCATCTCTGCTATGTAATTCTAAACAAAATTATATTCACGCATTCTAGATGCTGAAAAATCAGTCTTTTGTTTTTCTGGAGTCCTGACTATGGAAACCTGATAATAATTTTTATTTTGTTTATTCGAATCGCTATTTAGATTCTTTCTAGAGCTTACAACAATGGAAGAAAAATTGAAAATAAATCTTGGTCAATAATTTTATTACACCCTGTATCTGAAAAATCAGAAAAGTAGTATCGCTGCGAACTTTGTGGGTACTTACGAGGTACCAGTTCAGCTTCTATCGTATTCTATAAAGAATTTTTCAACAAGTTAGTAGATTGAACAACTAGAAACACCTTCTAGTCAAGTACTCAAAAGTTCTTGTTACATACTCGTAACATTTACTAGAGTTTACTTAGATTTTATTGGATAGATAAATAGAAATATATCTAAAGTAGTGGAAATAAGATTAGAAAAAAACGATTTTTTTAGTTTTTTTTTTCATAATATTAAGCACCTAGCTCCAATCCAAATAGTGATTTTAATAGCCAATGAAGTTTTCTATTCAATACACTTTATAGCAAGATTTCATAGATGAACAATGATGGCAAGGCTCCTCAAAACCAAACACGGTATTTTTCAGATTTTAGAAGGCTTTGCCAGAGTTATTTTTGAACGGTGCCATCTTAAAGACCACAAAATTCTGAGCAAAATGAGAGGTCGCCGAGTTTTTGTACGACCTTCTTATAAAAAGTTACAAGCATCACAAAAATCATGAAAAAAGCGTTTTTAGTTGATTTTAAAAAATTTCGTTTTTTCATGATTTTTGTGATGCTTGTAACTTTTTATGAGAAGGTCGTAGAAAACTCGACGACCCCTTATTTTGCTCAGAATTTTGTGGTCTTTAAGATGGCACCATTCAAAAATAACTCTGACAAAGCCTTTTAAAACCTGAAAAATACCGTGTTTGATTTTTAGGAACCTTGCCATCATTGTTCATCTGTGAAATCTTTCTATAAAGTGTATTGGATAGAAAACTTCATTGGCTGTTAAAATCACTATTTGGATTGGAACTACGTGCTTAACATTATGAGAAAAAAACCAAAAGAATCGTTTTTTCACCACTTTAGATATTTAATCTCATAATCAAAAGAAAAGAATTACAATAGCTGCATACATGATGATCGATCAGTCTTTAATCTTTCAGTTAAAATCGTATACTGTCAATAGTAATGAATTTTATTGTTCTCTTGGCAAATGTAAATGATACAATAAGAAAAAAAACCAAAAAAAAAAAATAATTTTACGTCTGCGTACAAAAACACAAAAAAAAAATAAAGAAATTTAGTCAACAAAAGTTGGTAAGGAAGTAAGATCACCGGTATCATTAGAACTTGATTGCTGAACAATACTGTGAAGCATATTTATAATTTCAACATTAAATTGACCAATATCATCTGATGCAAAACCAAAATCAAGATAACCATGTGGCCATTCATCAACTACAGTTAATTGATGAGGAACATTAAGAGAACGTAATCGACGTGCAAATTCAACATTATCATCAATAAATGGATCTTTGAAAATAAAAAATTTAAAATGAATTCTATAATAATTTATTAACTTACCGCGTGCACAGGGCTGAAATAAAAAAATAAAAAAAATAAATAATTTAATTTCGAATAATCACAAAAGAAAAAAAAAATTATTTTTATTGTTGTTCAAGTTACTTTTTTTTGTTAATTTAATACTAAGTCGGATGCTGTTCGACTTTATGCTATGACTTAGGAGAGTTGATTAGGGATGTCTTTCTCGAGGTATCCAATATGGCAGCGATTTACAATAGGAGAACGCAATAATCGAGTCTACTTAGAAATCGCTTTCAGAACAATCAAATGTATCCATAAGCAAAACTTTAGGTCGAAAATATTTGTTTTAGATTATCTTTTAAGCTTCTATTAGTCTTACTGACACCTATTCGTAGCCATAATATGAAGTCGAACGACATCCGACAGTTGGGTATGTTCGCTTGGTAAACTTTTGTCTGCTAGAGAAAATTAGCAATTTTTCCTTTGATTCGTTCCGCTATTAACAAGATTCGAAATAGATAATTTCTATCGACCTTAGCTCTGGCTATATCTATCATTCAAAGGATATCTTTTATCGTCTTCTTTTTCACAGAAAAATTTGTCTTAAAGTTTTATTCCATCAAAACTTTTAAATTTTCGTTTAATACGCTTCATCATGTCTCTTATAGTAGCCTAGCTCAGAAATTTCTACTAGAGTGGCAGCCCATAAAAAAGAATTTCTACTAGGATGTTGAAGCTGTTTTTCAGTTTCAATGACAAAGACAACCCTACAAATCATAGATCCATCATTTTAAATATATCTTGAAATTATCAGTCGTATTGTTCTTTTAGATCTATTACTTCTATACTGTTTCCTTGGTCTTCGATGAATGATGACATTTACTATCAATTTTTCATTTACTGTCCTTGTTATCTTTTAAATGAACTTCTATACATATGGACAATTATCTCAGAGGTTATATTAGTTATCAAGACTGTAAAAGTAGTTAATCAAAACGATAGAAATCAAGAATTTACAATAAGATGAGTTGTTGGAAATTGACGTAAAATTTCATCGGAAGCACATAATGGTGACATATGTGGATGACTTGGTAATGATGATTCACGTAATTTCCGAAGAAGAAATGCTTGACGTGAACCCATTATATCAACTATATGACAAAATTAAATTATGATATTTTTTTTTTGTTCAAAAATTTAAATAATAACGAAATATATACTTAATCGAGCATGATAATTATCTTTAGCATCAGGTTCTATTTTTTCAGATGTATCTTCATTTTCAGGTACAGGTTTATTTGATATTGATTTACGAATAGTAATTTTACGTCGTTTTTCATGTGTATTATCACTAGTAGCTATTGCTGAAGAAATATCATCATTAGGTGGTTTATCATCAGCTTTAATTCCAGCATATGCAGCAAGACAACGCCATAGAAAACCTGTGTTTAATAATGGATCCATAATAGCCATTAATCGAGATGGTGATACACTAAATTAACAATAAAATTTTATCTTCTTTTTAAATTATATAGTTCAAACAAAAAATTACGTAATTAGAAAAAAAAAGTTATTAGCACAATTCCTACACACTAAGTTAAAATGTGTCATGGTTTACGGCACAATGCACGACACATTTTTTATTGGTTCTTCTGAAAACGCATACTATGAATTTTTTTCAATTTAATTCCATTATAATTATTTCTGTTCTGAAAACTCAAGCAGGTTACATCTTGAGATCTTTCCAGCCTCGAGTTGGTCCGATCTCTGTCAGACCGGTTTAGGGTAGTCCTCTCTCGAATATTGATTGAGAGTGGCATTTTCTCGACTAATAAATTATCGAGAAATAATCTAAAAAAAAATTATTGTGGAAATATTTGTCTTTCTTACATTCAACCATGTTGCTTAATGCTTATATATGGCTGTGCGTGCATAACAAAAACAGTGAATGAATAGTGAACAAAGAGAACGCGACAAATTCGTATACAACACATTCCAAGTACGACACAATAACTCACGACGTATAAATGCGACACATTTTATGTTAGAATGTACGAAATTTCTTCTCCAGAAATGCAATAAGGGACTAATGTCCATTTCAGAGATAAATGGCCGTGGGTACTTTTCGAATAACTTTTGATAGGAATGAGATCGAGACCTGCGGTTTTCACCGTTGGAAAGAGCAGATGAAAATGCATCGAACCATATATAGAAAGATTTTTCTAACGACTTTCCTTAAGGTTTTACGTAAAACTTCAAGAAAAACAGCATGCCTCTCATGATTGCGATATTAATTTATTGACTTTCAGGAGTGTGCTAGAACCGCAAAATGAAGAGCTACAAAAAACTATAGAAAGGCTCTATTCCTAACTACTACCAATACGATACTCTAGCCATTG